TTACGAATATCTTGTATGCTTACCTCGGAATGGTTTCTCCCCTAGAATTTTTGGCCCACAGCCTAAAATGTTTAAACAAATTTTGTTCTCTGATGAATATAAATTTGTGATTTTAAAAGTTATATTCCAATGAATTAGAATTAGAAATATCAATTGCTAACTTCTGCAGAGCAAGATATCAAAATTAAAATTATGCTGTTTATTTCTTTGCAACGAGTTGATTGTTGTTTACTTAGTTGCATAGCTGTTGGTTTAGTTTATGTATAAAAATTGTCCACTCACGTCAAATGAAAGGATTGATTTCTCTTACTTAGCAGCACTTATTTAATTAAAATGAGGACTCTGGTTTGAAATCAAATGTGAGAGATTAAGTTTGACCAATATAAACTTAATTGTTTAAATCCCATCGTTACAAAAGTTGGTTCCAGTTAGAAATATAAAGTGGGACCTTGATAACTAGCATAGCCTCTAGTGCAAGGCCACAAAATTAGTGTGTGTAACACTGCACCGATGGCATAATGCCATGGTAACAGTAAACATAGCACATTATAAAGTAGTGCAACAGCTGTTTCGGTAGGCCAGTGCTGGAGCATGCCACTTTGTCTTGATGTGGGGGTCGACCAGTTGACTGACAAGCCGAATGGGGTGTTTTGACATAAAATATGCATAAGTGGTGGAGGAAGTTCAGAGGTGGTTTTTAATTATACTGTATTTGCACTTTGCATGGTGTAGGGTAGCTGCGGTTGGTTATCCGTCTCATTTGAGGCTATGACCTCAAAGAAGACAAAAGTTTAGGGAATTTGAAGGTAATATCCAGTATTAAGCATGCGGTATCTCGTTGGCTTGTTTATAAAATAAGGATTTTTTATTAGGATGTATTCAGTCACAAGTATTAAAAGCTAAATTCTAACAATAGATTTAAAAATACAAATAAAATTATATTATATTTTTCGTGCAATTTAATATTAGTAAATACTTATGTCTGACTAGCTGTTTTTCTGTTCTTACTGTTGGTCCACGAAGGAAGTCATGATATTTTCTAACGTAAGCATACCTTGACTTTATAGCTCATTGGGTAGACTTCCGTATATGTTGGCACAAACAAGCGAATAAAAATATTGATTATTCGGTTGTTTCATTCGATATATTGATTGGTTAGTTAGGTTAGGTTAACCTTACCTAACTATCCAAACGATATATCGATCAATATTTTCATTCGGTTGTTTATGCTAACAGATAAGGAAGTCTACCCAGCTCATTTTAAAGGCCTAAGTTAGTATGTTCCAGACTTCTGCCCAACCCTGTATAGAAGATAGATTAATATTTAATTGTTTACCAAACATAAGGGAATCACGGATACAGTTTCTGGGCTACGTTAATATAGATTGAAACTATCGATAGAAAATATTGATTAATAATCGCTATTTTTAACTACCGGTATTTCAATTGTAAAATGAGACTGTCTTAACCTAACTAACCATCCTACTTGCTGATAAGAAAAAATCTAATGAAAGTTTACTAATCGAATCGATAGTTTCAATCGATATTACCGTAGCCCAGTTAAGAAGCTGTACCCGGAATCACGATGTTATTGTAATACAAATACAGCAAGTATTGTTATTAAATACGGCATCTACCAAACATTGCTGTTTTTTTTTTTACAAAATTAACCTTAGGCCTACTATAAAAATCAGTCAAAAACTACAGTAGACCCCCTCTTAACCGACCCTAATGAGACCGGACCTAGGTCGAATAACTGAAAAGGTCGGATAAAACGGGCAATCCTTAAAATCATAACATAATGAAGTGCTATTCATTTGGAATTATATAATCATTATTTCAAAGTCATACTTGCATAATTTATAAAATAAACTACTCTTAGTCTCCTTTTTTTGTATTGATAGAAAAGTCACAAATAAACACAAAACACGTCTAAGTCAAATAGGCCTACTTTCACTGGAATATATAATACTAGGCAAGAGTCAATAAAATTCCTATTTTAACCCTTTGAGTGCCAACGTCCGGGGAACCGGACGTTTTTAAAATGAGCCAAAAGTGCCGACGTCCGGCCGACCGGACGTTTTTAGAACGAACCAAAAGTGCCAACGTCCGGCTGACCGGATGTTTCGTAATGATCGAACAGTTGTCATAACAACCGAATGGATACTCGGATTCTTTTAACCCATATATTAACATTGAGTCGAAAGTTACTAGATGCGATACATCGATTTTCGTTGGTCGAAATATTGAAAATTCGATTTTTACGAAATTTTAACCTAAAAATTGCCAGATCGCGCTCGGCATTTTTAGCGCGTTACGGTACTTTTATTTCTCGCCTGGCACTCTAAGGGTTAATAACTTTAGTACTACCGTACTGTAATGTATTGATTGATGCTTTCCAAATCCATCGTAATACAGTACAGAACCTTTTGTCAAAATTAAAGATACAAGCAACCATTTTGTTACAAGACAGGAGGTTTATTTATAGCCTCTCACTGGAGGCTCGAGGCACAAAAACTATCTTGACCTTGGAGTTGTTAACCCCCCTTCCCTGCCCTCCCTACAAGTTGCGTTGTTTGTTTACTCCAGCGATAAGACAATCCGTTCTCAAAATCGTAACGCACTTTATGATGTTATAAATTTGCTGCACAGATAACAAATCAAATCAGATGTGCTCGAGCTAGGAACGATGATGACAAACTGACAATAGGCTATGCTATATTTTTTGTGATCAACAATAACTCATTCTTAGTCATATCCTGTGGAGATAAGCATATGGTTCAGTTCTCATCGCCCAGCGTGGGAGCGGAAATGCCGAGATTCCTAGAAAGCGGCGGTTAAACCGAGCTGCTCTCAAAGCAAGGGTCGGTTAAAACAAACTGTATTATTTCACGATCGAAGGCGGATTATCCGATCATTGGTTAATACGAGGTCGGTTAAGAGGGGGTCTACTGTAATATGATTTTTTTTTTGTATGTACCTACTGTTGGAAGGGAAGCCGGAGTACGGTAGGTTGAGAGTACCTGTATCGAATGTTGAGAGTTGATTTACCTGTATTGGTAAAATAAACTTGGAAGTTTTCATCGGCCATAGAGTAGCCTAACTTAAGTTAGGCTAAGCTTAGCTACCTCTTATCACATGTTATAAAACCAAAAGGCTTGTAAAGTTTACCTGATACATTTAATGAACCTAGAAGTATCTTTGAAGGAAACCAAAAGGATTGTAATTTTTAAACTTTTAACATTATTTATTATTTAATTTAACCTCACTAAGTTCCTTAAGTTAACTGTTGCATGAATTCCATTTCTTGCTTAGAAAAAGGTTAACAATATCTCTATACATATCTTCTAAAATACGTAACCTTGGTCTTGTATTTTGAAATAATATGACCAAATTGTCTTTATCGGTATTACATGTTCTATTCTGTAGTCCCAAGTAGAAAAATATCTGCTGTCCAACAATCACTTCCACAATAACAAAGTTTTGTAATGAATGCCATGGTACAAACCATATTGAATCTTTGCCAATGATGAATGAAGTAATGAACTGAACTCCAATAGGAGCCATCACATATAGTGTTTCCTTTTTAACACAAAACAATCCTTTAAGGAAAAGGATCAGACCAAATACTGCTGGTAAAAGTAAAAGCTGGAATATGTATTTGGTTTCTTCAAGAGATCTTAGTCCTAGACCTACACTGATCACAACAACTAGTAACGATAGGACCAAAATCCTGATTTTGGATGCAAACCAAGCATTGTTTTCAAAAGTAAATTCCACACAACCACAATTTGTCTTACCACCCCACTGATTGAACGTCCTGATAAAATTAATATCTTCAAATTTCTCCATTATGAAGATTAACTGAGGTCAATGTAAATGACTTAAGTTTTTGTGTATTCACCAGTCATCTGAACACAACATCTAAAACGTGCCCATATTTTGAAACACCCTTGAATAAAATTTTGCATAATATTATCACTAAATCGTAAATCCTCTACGAACACGGTAAAATCACGGAGTCCACTTAGCAATAGCAATATTTTTTCTGGCTCTTGTTATAACAACTGAAGATAAAATGTTAATGTCAACATAACCTTAATTATACATCTTTATTTTATTTACGTTTCTTATTTCCATTCCACTTCTATTCAATTCGATTCACGATTCGTCTGCTTTCATTTATCAAACGCCAAGCTGTTGTAAAAAGCAATACAGCACAGGGTTTACAAAAGCAAATCTGTCAACTTGTCTTGGCGGAGCGGCTGAAAAGAAAATAGAGGGTTGGTGACTGACCATGACATCACATCAGTAACATAAAGCTTACACAGCTTTACAGCTTGTAAGTCTTGAAGCTCATTTTCGTGTCTAGTTCATGTCTGGTGACACTAATTGATAGTGTCGATGACATTTTGTTTCTATTACTTTAGGGTTAATTTAATGATTTGTGCTTTACTGTTTGGTTATATAACTAGTAGACGCAGGGCCGGCGAGAGCCGTTACGGGCCATGGTATTTGGCCCCTGGGCTGAGCGATCCCGGGCCCCCTATTTTCCTGATTTTGTGTCCAGCCGCCTCCGTGCCGTTTTGTTACACATATAACATTACAGATAAAAAATGCATGGTAGTTGATTAATTGTCGTGCCCACAGTTGAAACTTAATTCCATTCAAAAATTACTAAGGGAATTGGAAAACCATGCTAAAATTTTTGACTATTAGCAGATTATATGTCTAGAAAAGATTACGGAAAGAAACATCGGATAACACAAAACATATATTTACGCTTATACTGTTACTCACAAGACAGAAAAGATTTTACATTTGATCGGGCCGGGCCACGGCCGCCTTTAACTCCAGGCCGCGGCCTTCGAAGTGGCAACGTCGCAAGTGGTGTTGTAACAGCTGTTTTGTGACTTGGGGCCATTTATTTTCTGGTTGTCTGTTTGACAAAGCAGCTGACAGACACTACTAAAGAAGAAGAAGGAGGAGAAAAAGAAAAGTTGTGTTATAAAATTGACAAAGACAACAAACAGACTTTAGGTTAGGCGTTAAGTCATAAAAGTTAGGATTTTTATTTATATTGTAATGGGGATTGACTAGTAGGAAATGGCTGATGATGGTCAAAAAAATCATTCTAAAAATAAGAAACATTTCAATAAAAATAATTCTTTCAATGTGCGGAAGCGAGGTCCTCCCCATGTAAGGCGTAATAACGATATTTATGTTACAAGTAAATCCAATTTCCAGGTAAGTCACATCTATAATGTTCTGTTTTGTGATTAGGCCTATAAGTTAATGTTTGTATGTAATCGGCCTTGGGTACAGTTTCTTAACTGGGCTATGCTAATATTGATTGAAACTATCGATACGATTATTAAACCTTCATGCGATTTTTTCACTATCAGCAAGTTTGGTTGGTTAGGTTAGGTTATGATAGTTTAATTTTATAATAGATATATTTTAAAATACCGTAGAATGGGGTGAATAGAAACACTTTTTGACTTTTAAGCTTCTGTAAAAACGATATTTTTAATTTTTAAATTTTCAACACTAGCTCATATTTCCGGTCTTGGACTCCTCTACTCAAACCAGTAATTAATTTTTTTTTTCTTTTTAATCATTAAGCAGAAAAAAAATAAAATACCGTATGGCTGTTTCTATTCACCCTGCACTTTGGGGTGAATAGAAACACTGTGTTAAATTGATGATTGTTGCTTTTCCCCACTTACCAGGGGCAATAGAAACATGAAATTTATGCTTGTTAGCTTAGGTTGTTGTAAATAAAAATATTTAAAGTTAATTTAACACATTTATATATTAGTACGAAGTATAAAAACATCGTTTTCATACCCCTTATCCAAACAAATCGGAGAACATAAATGACAATGGGTGAAATCAGAGTTACAAAATCTTACATAGAAACCAACTAAATGAAGAGTAAAATCAGACAAATCTTCCTCAAAATACAACACTCCCTTAAATCTACAATTTGTACACGGCTTGGGAGTTGGAAGCCAACGTACTACGTCATCGACTTTGAAGAGGGCCTCCTTAATCTGTCTCTCAGAACTTTTTGGTTTGCGCAATTTTCTTGATAAATCTTCCTGTTTATCCTTCCTTGTCAAATTCAATAACTATTGCAACATATAAACGATAGCAAGTTTTGTTTTTCCCCATTACTTTGACAATTACATGATCATGAAGGGACAACTTTGAAGACTCACTGATGTCTTGAGCTAGGTATGCTGGTTCTTCTTCATCAAATTGTTCGTCTTTGTCACTTTCTTCCAGTGAGAAGTGTGACTGATGTGGAATCATCTTCATCTCTGGTAATTTTTTTTCTTTTTTGGGGGGTTTTCAGGTCTACCTTTATTTGCACCACTGGTTAAAAAAAGTGTTTCTATTTACCCTGGTTTTGCAAAATCATGACATAACCTAAAATAAAAATAAAGTAAAAAAATATAGTTTATTCTAAGGCTAATCTATTAACACACTTGGTTTTAAGATACCTAAGACAATATAAAAAATGGTTATTAACATAAATACATGTAATAGGTTCATACTTAGAGAGAAAGTTTTGAAAAGAATGTTTTTCGCCAAAATTTTCAAATGAGGTTTCGCATCATCCAACATCCTAAGCAGTGATACCAATATGCTGAAATAATTTTTCCCAGGTAGATAGGATATGGCTATAATGGGGGAAAATAATTCCCTTATATAAAGTCAATGTATAACAAAGTTATAAAAATGTGAATCATTCATTGAAGTTTTGTTTCTATTCACCCTGTTGTTTCTATTCACCCCATTTTACGGTATCGATTATTTATCAATATTTTCAATTCAATAGTTTCAATCAAGGGTACAGTTTCTTAACTGGGCTATGCTAATATCGATTGAAACTATCAAATTGAAAATATTCATTAACAATCAATATTTTTAAATATATCTATTATTAAATTATACTATCATAACCTAACCTAACCAACCAAACTTGCTGATAGTGAAAAAATTGCATGAAGGTCTACTTATCGAATCAATAGTTTCAATCGATATTAGCATAGCCCAGTTAAGAAACTGTACCCTCAATCAATATTAGTGTAGCCCAGTTAACTGTACCCGATGAATGTCAATTTTGTGTTTATTTGTTAATTTGCATTAATGTATCCCTGAGGCAATCCGCAACCAACAGGAGGATACAAATTTAATTATTACATGCTGTTCATTGAGGAAATCTTATTCAACAGCTACTGACAGCTAAGGTGGGCTATAAACCACGGGGTCACATAGTTTTATGTTGAAATATTGCATTATCAAAGTGTCTGTTAATTAATGGGATTAGCTGGGAGATGTACCTCATCTGCGATTAAACCAACAATCCAAGAGAAGTGGGGGAGGTCTTTAAAGCTAAAGATGCAGTTGTGCTTGCTCTGTGACCTCAGCAGAGCCTTTGACTGCATTTCCCATGATATCTTCCTCCAGAAATTTAGCAGATATGGTGTTTGTGGCATGGTTCTCTCCACCTTAAAGAACTACCTAGCCAACAGAGCCCAGAAGGTAATACTCGAAGGAGCAATCTTTTTAGAACTGGAGGTGAACCAAGGAGGTGCTCTAAGGATCTGTGCCGGGTCCTCTTCTATTCCTGGTCCTCATCAACAACATCAGCGAGACCAGCAGCTTCATACCGTTTGCAGATGATTACACACTTCTCACTAGAGGGCCAAATCTACACCACACTAGGGGTCCAGCTACAATCCAGGTCTAAGAAGCCAAAGCGTGGTTTCAAATGAACAAGCTGTCCCCCCAACTGAACGGATACAAAACCCAGAGTCTCCATTGTACCCTCTCAAGAGACCCTGCGGATGACATGGCAACAGTTAAACTCCTTGGTTTCTATCTGTACAGCCAACTAGACTGGAACGACCACGATGTCCATGTTGCCGACACGGCTTGCCCGAGTGAACTGTCTTCTGAGGCGCCTCCAGAAATGTGTCACTGAGCAGTACCTGCTGATGGTACCATGCACTGTTCCACTCGCACATTGCGTATGAACTGACCTACGGGGTCATGCGTCAGAAGTAGATGAAGTATTAAAGCTTCAATAAGCGGCAATCCGTACATTCCAAGGAGCCCTTTTAGAGAACCCTGCTAACCAATTTTCAAGAGACTTGGAATTCTAACTGTCTGCAGCCACTACATATCTATGCCTGCCTAATTGAAATAAATGCAGTGTTCCATATCTAAATACAGTACCGGAAGCCACATCCACGCCCATAATACCAGAGCTTGATGTCCCTAGGGCAAGACTGAGAAGAACGTTAGGCTAAATTCATTCCCCATGTCAGGCATCAAGTTTTTCAACAGACTCCCTCCCACAGTCCCTACGTAAGTCCCTGGCGTAAGGAAAATTAATCAATAGCCAACCTACCTAATGTTGCTGAGATGTGAAGTAGGCCTAACTCAGGGTTACTTTAAAAAAATCTGTATATTGATAGGCAAGTATGTCTCTTTAAAACCTTTTTACTCAGCTCATGTGCATCACAAGGAAAATCTACGCATACTGTTAGAAATATTTTTTCCTGTAGATGTGCAGAATCCCTTTAAAAATTAAAATAGGCTCAAATATAAGCACAACAAATGAATTTGAAATTTAAAAAAAACTAACATGGGCATTATGGGTTGCCATATTAGCGACAAAATAATGACGAAATATACACAGAAAATCAAAACAAATGGAAAAAATTATATTCAAATGTTTTATTTATCTACAGCGTAGGGTGGAAATTTGGCCTGTACCTTTAAATTACAACTAGACATTCCATCCCCATGTTAAAGTTGTCACCAGTTTTAATTAAATTCGTCGTAGTTGATGTGAGCCACCAACCAACAGATTGCGCTGATCTAAATGACTGATTTCTGTCGAATAAACGATGGTTCATAATTAGTCAAACTTATGGAATGACTAATTATGAGCTATAGCAACAAACTGTTATGACCCCTCAACTTTGTCAGAAAATAAATTAGGTAGAAATATAATTTTAGACACACATTCTGTGGCTGGCTCACACAACTAGGCCTACATATTTTTTAATTTAAAGATTTGCGACAGGTGGTCCATATAAATGGGCATGTCTACTTCAGTATTTAATAGTCAATGTGTGTACATTACATATTTTTTGTTGAGTTTTCGACCACTGGATGACCACTAGTTAAGTTTACTCTATAATCCTGCTAGTGTATGAAGTAAGCCTAGACCATTAGTGTATACTCAATGCCTAGGCCTAACTTAGGCAATATTATTTTTAGTTTGAAACGTTTTATAAAATTGTGATTGATAATCGCTATTTCAGGGTCAGTTGTCTCAGTGTGATAAGTTGTTTCAAGAAGGAGAGGAAGCCATTTTTCTTCATGGGATTGGAGCTGCCATACCTAGGACTATAAATTTGGCATTGCAACTTAATGAGAGATATCCAGGCGCATATGAAGTCAATGTAGAAACTTCTACTGTAACCTTAGTAGGTATGTTGTCATTAAGTCTTCTTTTTGGACAATTTGTATTCTCTGATTGGGTAGTTCAGCAAAAATATTTTGGATTTCCTTATACCATGGAGTCTAAGTACTGTGGTCAAGTACCCTAGGATCGTTTATAGCTACAAACCTTGGTTTTCCACCTACAAGTGGCCTAAATCATGAGTTGATTGACTTGACATCAAAGCGCATGATATTACTGTATGTCACCAAGATTACTTAATCACACCTTTATTACTTGGGCATTGGTCTCATGCGATATCAGTAATAATTGTATAGGTATCTACTGGTTGGTGTTGTATAGGTGTTTGACAAAGTGGTCAGTTTTTCACAGCTTATCTTATAATGTACAGTTCGGCCAAAGTTTCTGTGCATGCGACCAGATCTGGTTGGGTCTTAGGCGAGTGGGTTGGTGGGGGTACTTTTGTGAAAACATTAGTGTCTTGCTACTCACTCGCCCCTACCCTAGCACTGCCAATAACCGGTACCCGTATGTTTTAGTTGGGCTAGTAGTGACCTGTTTGCGCGCACAGAAGTTTTGGCTGAACAGTACTCCCGTCACATTACACAAACATCCTATGTATAAATAGGCAAGCATGTTTCTTGAAATCTTTTTTCTCAGCTTGTGTGCATTGCAGGGAAAATCTATGCATCTTGTCTAAAGGAAAATATTTTACAGAAAGATATTTTCCTGTAGATATGCAGTATCCCTTTAAAAATTAAAATAGGCAAAAAAATAAAAAATTAACATGGGCCTTATGGGTTGCCATGCTGGTGACAAAATTATCAATTATCAATAATTGAGATGGGGACGCCACCTAGGTGCGTATTTTAACCCAAATATGAGTGAAGGATGAGTGTAGAATGGTGTGTGATGACCTAACAATGAACAGGATATAAAAACAAATGTAAGAAATTCCAATCACATGCTTTATTTACAGCGAGGGGTGAAAATAGAGCAGTCTTTACATTACATATTTTTGGTTGAGTTTTCCACCACTGGACGTCCTCTAGTATAACTAAATAGTCAGCCTATTAGAGCAAGTTCAATTCACCATATTCATCTATTTTTATACGGTACCCTGGCAAAACTAAAGTATTTTGTTATTATTACATTTTAATAATCTTTTACCCATTCCATTTTGATATACTAACTTCAAAGATTATTTAACTTAGGGTTAAAAAGATGCCTGCCATATAATTTGATGATGATGATATTCTCATCAATCACAGGCTTATAGCTTCATTTCACTAATTTTAAAATTGTACTATTTTGTTTCCTCCCCACAATAGATTCTAGTTTGAAGAATTGTCATATTGTCAATTATTATTACCATTACCTGTTTTTAGACGGATTGACTCCGTTAAAAAATAGATGTCACTGGTCTTCAAGTTTAATTTCTAGTGTTGTATTTCTGTAACAATTGAAATACTGATTTTTTTCAGATGATTTGGAGCCGTTAGATGATTCTGCTGATTATGACACTCGGACTCGCCAAAACTCCTCAATAAAAATAAAAATTTCAAAGAAAAAAGACTGTCCTGTCAACCAACTTTAGAAAGTGTCCCCCACAATGTTTTTTTCCTTGGAAGAATTAGTTCATTGGCTTGGACTGACTGTATTTGAAATATGGATCAATTTGATATCCATCAGCATATTCACAGTGCTGCTTTCCCTACACTTGGAAGGTTATTTGATGGAAGGACCAAATGTTTGGTGGGTGATTTTCTCCCCTCTATTCTCAGCTGATGCTCTTAACGCTTACTTTTGTACGATCGTATTGATACGAATGTACCTCGAAGGACTTTACAAAGCAGCTTTTTTCCGTGCTCTTTGGTCATTTTGGTTCTTGGGCCTTCTCTTTGCTTTCGAGTTTCTTCTGTGTAGAAGATTGTCAAACTTGAGTGAAGCAGAATATTCAGAGATTTTGGCTCCGATGTTTATTTTACTTCAACTTATGGCTGTTAGAGCTTGTCAGTTACAATGAATTTATGTTAAGACCCTAAACAGAACTATGTTTTTGTACAAGTGGTACTTATTCATTGTTTCCAGACACTCTCTGGTTGGTAGTGCATATATATTTTGAAAGTAAGTGTTAAAAGTTTTGTAAATAGTTTCAGAGACATTATTTTATATAGATTTAATTTTTTATCAGTGCATTTTATAAGTCATGTAAGGTATTTGTTTCAAGAACATTTCAGTTAATATTAAATTAACCTTGACTGTTTGTTTCGTTTTCTATTTTTAACCTCATATATTTCCTTACAACCCTTAAAAATTATGTAAAAATTTATTATTGTGTTAGTATTCCCTTTGCTCTACATCTGAAATAATGTTTAGTTGAAATCAGAGCCAGTACTCTCATTTTTATGCGGCTGTTATTAAGCTTAATGCCAATCTCTCTTAACACTTAATTGTTTAATATGCTAGTAGCAGACAGGCAGTCAAAATTGAAGCCAAAAGGACTGGCAGAAGCCGACGTAGCCCATACACTGAGCATTATAAAATGCAACTTTTTATTTGCTGCTCTATTCTAATGTATAGAGATTACATATACTTAACGCATGAAAAACCATTTGACTATTCAAAGTTTTATGTATGTTTTGTTTCTTGGAGATAATAACCCATTTGAACTCTTGTTGTTTAGTTAATTTGTAATATGTTTTCGTTCAATGATGGGTTTGAAATTACAAATATTGTGTTTTTTATCCTTTCTTTGACATTACTGATATTTTGACTATGTATAATATTTGGAACTAACAATATCAGTTATCTAAAACATCTAAAATTGAGTTTAGCAAATGTGTAATTTTAAAGAGTTCAAATGGGCTATTTTCTGCAAGAAACAAAACATACATAAACTTTGAACAGTAAAAAAAAGAGTTTGACATGTGCAATCATTATATTATCAAATTATCTCTATATATTTCAACAGAGCAATAACTGATGGCATGGCTCTTCCTCATACCTACCACAAACCTAACACAGTCAAGACCTGTGGCGAACTCTGTGTAAGCTTCAGTCAATGGATCGGACAAAAATTCCGTAATTACAAAGATGTCCATATAGTTTTTGGCTCTTTTTTTTCCTAGGACGCTAGGCACGAGCCTGGGATTGTTTTTCACATTACTTCAGGCTAGACCTAGGGGGTGCGGCATTATCACTTGGATAAAATCCATTGGTGACTTGGCGTGGATCGAACCCGGGACCTCACGGACTGAAGTCCCGTGCTCTAGCCACTACACCAGCTTGCTCCCCAGTTTTTGATTCTTACAAAGAAAACTCATTGAAGAAAGCGATCCGAGAGATTCGGCAAAAGGGCTCAGAGCCAATACAGTACAAAATTGGACCAGAAACAAATATTGGAAGTAGGAAGTATTCCAATGCACAAACTACTTTCCCATGATAAGACCAAGGGCGAACTAACAGGGTTCCTTTCCAATCATATTATTCATTTTGGCGTGACCAACAACAAAAGGTTCATACTCAGTTGGAGGGACAAAGCAGTGGTGATGTTTCCAGTCTTGCAAGTACACAGGAGGAGGCTGATACAAAGATTATATTGCATGCTGCTTAGTTAGCGCGGTAAGGAATTAGAGCCACTCATGTGTTCTCCCCCAAACCCGATGTCCTGATTTAGCACTAAGGCAATATCCTCATCTTCCAAAAGATTTACAATGGAATGAAGAGGTTTGTTCAGCTTACAGTTTCAATTTACAGAGCTCTTGGACCTCTGAAAGCCTCTGCACTCCCTGGGTTACTTGCACTTTCAGGAGCTCGAGCTGATCTTACAGGATCCTTTGTTGGTAAAGGTAAAAGAAATTGGTGGAAAACCTTTAATTCATTAAGTGATAACGCTGCTAGCGGCTTTGGATAAATTGGGGACCACAATTACACTCAATGAAAATGTCAAGACTAAGCGCTCATTTGTCAGCTTTATATCCCCAAAACAACAAACACTGACCGACATAGGAGCTGTACGTTGGTTGTTGTTTACACAAAAACAATGTCAAGATGAGAACCTTCCTCCAACAATATCCCAATATCCGCACTTTATCCGGCATTGCTAAGGGCTCATCTTTAGTGTTTTGAGTGGAAACAGGATCTCATTCAGCATCCTAATAACCCCACCACCTTCAGTATTTTGGATGGAACAAAGTAGGGAGTGCATACGAGCCTGTTGCTTGTACTTGTACCAACCTTTGTGGACCAGAGTTTATCTTGGAACTTTGTCGCTGTTCATTCATGCTCCAAAAGGCGTTACTGTCCCCCTTGTACATGCCAGTCAAATGGACTCCGGTGTACTGAAATGTGCAAATGTAAAGGTAATTATAACCGTTGTGACAACATGGGAGATTGCGAGGGCGAGCTGGATGATGATGTAGATATAGGCCTACATCTAAGTCAGATTTGCATTGAAAGTGACGATGATTGTAACTAAATCTGTTTAAAATGTCATCGTGTAAATGTAACTGTCGGAGTAAATTTGTAAACATTGTATTTATCTCACAATATGTGTATTAAAGGTTAAAGTTATTTAATGAAGTACCTGCTTTTTATCTTTCAATTTTCTACAACATAACATACGGAAATGGAATAGTTTCTAATTTATTGATTTAATGGAATTATTGTTAGTAGAATTATCCAGTAGCCATTAAAATAATTGCAAGCATGTAAATATGTGTTTTTGTACATTTTTAAATGAGCATTATTAATCTAAAATTACTATCATTTATGTACATATTTGACAGGGGACTATTATTTTATTGTAATATGCAATATGAAAAGAATCACCAGTCATACATGTGTATAATTAGAAAGAACCAATAAATTTGTAAGAGTAATATTGTCACTCATAAATAGGTGACTATGATTATTCCTTTACTCAGAAAAGTCTTGGCTTAAAATATCTACATTAGTATGGTCACCATTCAAATATAAGTAGTCAAAATACAATTTCCCAAACAACCCTTATTTTCAGAGGTCAGTTCTATACATATCAGACACGCCTCCGAGAAATTGAATCAACTCTGTGTCAAACGATTCTACTTGTTCCATCGGCAGTCAATTAAATTGACCGCAAGGCTATATGATAAGCTGCACACGTGTGCGACGCACATGCGCGCTGATTGGTTTCCCGCCACGCCGCACCGCTGCCACCTCACAGCTGTTCTATCTCCCTCTCTCTCACTCCACTCTGCTGACACGAGTCGCGCGCCTGATCGTCGGCGTTTCTTCTCGTTTTGTTGTTGTGGCTGATCATAACCTTGCTTGTGGTCTCTTCACTTCGCGTTGACCAATTCGGCAATTCAGGTAAGCGTGGTTTTCGTAAAAGCTACATAAATTGTTTGAAACACAAATTATTGTTGAGGTTAAGCACGAAATTGTCGATTGAGTTTTGGTTGGATATGAAAATTGGTTTTTGATTAGCTCGCTTTTAAAACTGCCTCCCATTGACTAGCTAGTTTCCTCATTTGCAGCGGGAAATTTGAATAGATTATTGTTAATTGATCTTATAGTTTTAATTTAAACTATAAAACAAAACGGTGTAAAATTATATTTTGTCATTGTCTGTTATTGAAAAGCCTTGCACAAGATTATTAATCACAAATGCACTTTTTTGTTTCATGTTAAAATATATATTTTACATATTTTGTCCATCTTTCTAATAGTTTGTAACATAACCTTGGTTAAGACTAAAATTTCTGAAATCTCCTTTTATTCTAGACAGCGTTTGCCTTGCCTACCTTTGGTTTGAGAATTATTTGTGATATTTATTAGGCTATATATTTTTTAGAAATTTTACATAAATTTATGAATAACTACTGTAGGCTACTGGTAGTTTGAACAAAGTCATGACAGCTAAGATATTTGATACCTCTATATTAAATTATGTTTACAATTATATGTGCCCCAACTAAAACTAGCCTAGTTGAAAAAATCATTATTCATATTTTTATTTAAAGTATATACAGTAATATAATATTTTAGAGTCTTGGTAACACATACTGTTAAAAATATAACCCCAACTACCATAAACACAAAGTTAGTTGTCAACATTTATTTTACGTCTCGTTTCTGCTCATACGCTAAACAAGTTTCCTTTTTCATTAATTAAAGCTCTGCACTTATTTAATAAAACCCTATGCTTTATTCTTAATCATTTTAAAAAATTTTAAAGTGATTACAGTATGAAGATTTCTATTGTTAGTTTCATAGTTGTAGTTGAGTGCCAGTTTTAGTTAGGAAAGAAACCCTCTTATCTTGTATTAATTTTACCAATTAACATGTCAATTAAAAAATAACTGCACCCAATATTGTTATCATTTTTAGACAAGTGTTATCAATTGCCATTTGCTCTTTGTTGGCCTTCTACATTTTAGGCTGACATTAGAATCATTTTCTTATCAGAGCCTTATCTTTGGACCAGACACATTGCATAATTTGTGTAAGACAATGGATTATTTAATGACAAAATTAAATCCCAACAATTATCAGATAAACAATGAAATGTCACACCTGTTCAAAAATGTGTAGGCTTAAACAGCCTGTAGTTTGGATTCAACTATTTATTATATGTGCATTTTGCTGTAGATTTGGGTGAGTTTTACTTTTTTTGACTGAAACCCTGTTTAGACTCAATGTCTTCAATTCAATCAATTCTATTAGTTGCTAACAAGTTATTTTATTCACTCAAAACTACCATTGTCAGGCAATTTGTCATAGTTAACCTGTAAACTAAGCTGTTAATCAAGTTTTTCAAAATCGTTTGTAATAAAAAAAATGTACAAATTAGATTAACAAAATACTGTATGATTTTCTCAATAAATAAATATAGTCTACATAGGAAAAAACATTGTTTTGATGAAGTATAGGGGCTTGAAAAGAAATAAAGATTTTTGAAAGTTATAACAAGTTTGAATAGCTTTATCATGGCTGTTGTAGTGTGACATTTGTCAAGAACTGTATTTTACTTTTTGGTTAAAGAAATGTCTTGAATGCCGCCTACTTACTATGTTTCATTATTATTATTTATTTAATTAATACAATTTAGTTTTTGATAATTTCTTCTAATATTTTTAGGAACATGTGTGGCATTTGGGCACTGTTTGGCGTGTCCACGGACAGTGTCGAGCACACAGACAGATCTTTTGCCAAGATCAAACATCGAGGCCCTGACGCCTGGAAGATCCAATATGACAACAAAGTCAAGGTAAGATAGTCTTGTTCATTTTAAGATTAGTTACGTCAAAGAGATAATAAATTGACAAATTTTATAGATGTTCTTAAAAACAGTGAAATTAGAAAATGGTTTTAAAAACAAAAATGTTTAATTTAAGATTTCTTGATGACCCTCCTAAAATATAAAGTATTGGGGGACAGGCCCTTGCTCGGTTGTGGTTAATTTGGTTAAATGGTATAAGTAGTTTACGCAATGATCGTGTAAAGTTAGTGTTAATGACACAAGTAGAAAATTTAGAAATTTTTTTTTTAGAAAATTTTTTCTTGGCGAGTGCCTTAACAACTTCTACGAGTGTCGTTAACACTATTTACGCGAGTTGCGTACACTACTTTACCTACGACCGGTTCTTAATTACTAATAATCGCCACTCAAAACTTCTCAGAGAGGTTATGCTTTAGTTTATAACCTCTCATTGCCACTGACATTGATGCAACGACTCATTGTACCAATCGCCAATTGCACCAATCATTAACAATTAAATTTGTAAAAAGCTGATTAGTTGAAGTTCGAAGAATTACAATTTTACTTCTCTCTCAATCCTTGAAGCTCATTGGTCCGTTACCCGTGTTGTTATGTAATATAAATTTGTCTTAAACTACATATTCTAGAGGACAAAGTGCGTGCTTTTGTGATTAATAAGAACAAAGTAAACTGTTTGATGCTAAATGAGAGTAAGCATTTACATTGGTAGAATAAACTCACAAAAAGTTATTTATTATTGAACTAAACAAATTTCTTAGATTATTGTTTCATCAATTATTTCTACAAAAGGTCCTAACATTTGAATATACAGCATAAAAATGTTTCCATGAAAGCTGTAGGCCTACTGTAACCATTGACTTTTGGATCTACTGAAGTTTCATCAACAGTCAAGGCTGTTACCTACCAAATTTATCCATGTTACTGACAACTGTTACAGTTGTTTTTATCATATAATTTCCTAGTCTGATCTAGTCTACTATAATTATAATTGTTATGTGGTTGCAGTGTGCCTGTCTCGGCTTCATGCGTCTCACCATCATTGACAATGTGTATGGTATGCAGCCTATGATCCTACACAACTACCCCCACCTCACCCTGCTGTGCAACGGGGAGTTGTACAACTACAAGAGGGTGAGACACTAGCTTCCGTACTAGGATCGTAGGAATTTGGTTGTATTAATAAAAGTTACATCACTGGATTTTAAGTATTATAGATTACAAATGCAGTAGATTTTTTCTTTAATTTTCCTATATACATCCATCTCATTAAGCTCATAGATGTTTTTATTTATATAAAATCATAGATATTAATACTTTGACGATGTTCTAAATGCACTGTGCTTAGGAAAATAGTTTATATACCAACTCTTAAGAAAATTTAATATCTCATTCAGTTAAAGTTCACATTATGTTAAAATGTACTAAAATATTTTGAGATTAATTCGTATTTTAACGTGAAAAAATAACAATAAATATTTTTCCTTTAAATAGGTACTTTTAACATTAGATTATTTAAAAAAATTCAATTTTTAACTCCATTTATTTTTTGTAAAAAAGTTTGAAAAATTGAATTTTGATAAACAAACCAATGCTTCTTTACTATTGCAAGGTTTATCTGTGTGAAATTATTAAGAAGCAAATTAAATCTCATTGCAAGATCAGCCAGCAAATGAGCAGAAACTAGATCCAGTCGCTGATCCAGCATTCTTAGGGTTGTCACTTCTGATAAACTAACATGATTCAAGATTCAAGTTAAGCTTGCAGTATCCGTGTTAAAATATCCACATCTACGTTGTGGTGTTGACTATCTTCAAGTCAGCCCATTTATCATGTGTAGACATAAAACTAAAAGAGAGATATTTCTTTAAAGACCAAGCAGCACATTTTTTCACTGTGCTTTGTGTACAGTAAATTGGTGTACCCTCCTCTTACATTCAATACATTTTTCATATTTTTTAAGCATTTGAACACTGGAGACAGTTGATTGTAAACTAATTATCCTCTGAATTTATTGAAAATAAGAGAAGTAATTGAATGCCAAAGGTGATAAAGTAAAAGTCAGAATACTTTTTAGATGAAAGCTAGTTAGTACAATAATTTGCATCAAAACGACATACTATTCTTATTTCGTATCAGAGCTTTATAAGAGGTTATAAAAACTAATATTGCTGGTTGCAGTAACATAAGGATACCACCTGAAAGAGTATTCAAAATAATTTTTTCACTGTTTTCAGGCTACACAAACATTTGTTTAGCAAAATCACAAATGAAAAACAGTAACATGTATAAATTCAGAACGTTTGTCAACACTGATGTAAAATATATTTGATCCAACGATTTTTCTTTTCAGCTGGGTGAACATTTCAAATTTGAGTACGAGACTCGCTGTGACGTCGAGTGCATAACTCATCTGTTTGCCACTCGAGGTATCGAGTTTTGTGTGCAGCACTTGGACGGAGTCTTCGGCTTCGTGCTTGTCGACAGCAAAACACAGCGAGTGTACGTCGGCCGTGATCCCTTTGGAGTCAGGCCTCTTTTTCGCATCAAATCAGACGTCGGCATCGTAGGATTCTGTTCTGAGGCGAAAGGTACATCTTTAAATTGCCCTTGTGTAAATTATGGTCATTCTTATTCTGGATTTCTACTTTTCAAACCTATAAACATAAAGCCTTCATATACAGATGTGTCAGAATGTTTTACAATAACTACTTTTTGTTTTGGAGATTACACTTTTATGATGGCAATACATTTATATTTCACATTCAATCCATCCAAGTCAAATCTAAAAAATGTGAATGAATTTTTTCAGAAAGTTATTACATAAGAAAGGCAACTTTTATTATTTGAACATCCTGTCAGGCTGTCAAACACATATAGTTTTAAGATATAAAAATGCTGTATGTAATGTGTCATTTGAAGCGATCCATATTTAGATAATATGAGCAATAATGGATAAAAAAAATTTGATCTTTCAAGACACCACAACAGCACATGCATCGATGGTTCTTTTTTCATCTCTTATTTTTTATTAGAGTTATTTTTTCTTGACTTTACTGTCCTTCAAAGATTCATGAGATAAGCGAATCACATAAAATGCACATGATCGGCTGATTCATTGACATCTAACACCTGGCTATCAAGAGTGTCAAGTGAAGCTGAAAACTCAGTACCAAGGTCAGCCTTCTAACAAGGGCAATGCTGTCAAACTGGCTGTATTAAATCTTCGCTAAAATTGTTTTGGGAACACATTCCATGCAACTTGATTTTAATAATTGCTTTACGTACCATAGTCTTAAAGAAATATTTTTAATGCTAAGTCTGTAATATAAGCTCTTATATCCCATATCATTAATAAAATATATCTCTTAGGGAATCTGTTTCACTAAGAGAAAGGTATTATTACTTTAAATTCCCAAGTTCTTAGGTGTAAAATATTTATGTATTTTTTTTACCAAACACAACACGTAAACAAAAATAACACTTTGATTTAATGATTCTTCTAATGTTTCTATTGCAATCGTAAGTTGTAACATAAAGTTGACAAACATTTCACTCAACAACACAAATTACCTTTCATCATCCGAATCTTGATTATTCCACAAATTTAAAGTAGACACAAACTAATACGCATTAAACATCATATTATACAAAATAAGCTATGGTTGACGTGTCTGAACCTTCTCATCAACCATTACTGTGCCTCAAATTTATCATATTTCTCATCATGGTTGCAGGTTTGATGAGCCTGTCCAGCAAGATGAACGGAGGCAAGTGGACGGTAGAACAGTTTCCACCTGGACACTTTGCCGAGTACCAACTGAACAAGGATGGAACAGCAACCCTACTGAGGGAACAGCGCTACTACAGCCTCGGTGCCGCACCTGCCTTCCAGACACTGGTGCCTTACTCAGGTAAGAGAACTGCTCCTCAACTACATCTGGATGACTCTTTCTTCATCCACCTATTAGTGTGCCTTCATTAACTTGGTGATGATTTAAAGTTTACATGGTTATTGCAGACATTTTCCATCTTACATTATTAAAACGGAAGCACAACAACATTTCAGGACCAGGAATCCCTGTTGTGGTGGGAAGAACCTAGTAAATAAATATAAATTTGAGTACGCAAACACATAATCAAGCAGCACTGAGAAATATAATTCTGTAGCTGAAAATGACAAATTAATGTTTCATGCTCAATTTTTCGGCAGTAAAATACAAATAAGAAAAAGTAGTGGAAAAACAACGCTGTCCTCTTAACATCAGGTTACAAAGGCACAATTTCAGGACTCAAGTTGCAGCATTGTTTTTTTACTTGTGTTTGTTAACTTCCTTTTCAACTTTTTGATTACTATTCACATTTGTTTGTTTTCAGTTAAACTGTGTTTTCTGGCGCTGTTTGGTTTGTATAATAAAGAAAAAAATTCTTTTACTGGAGAGAGGCCTTCAAACATAAATATAGATAATATTCTACTCATCAAAGAGATCATAGACCTACAGTTTATAGCTACTACTGTACCAGTATGTTGCTAAAAGTTGTCGGTGATAAGCAAGATGTAAGCAGATGAAGTCCTTTGGTCTAACCACTAGACCAGTCAATTGCCATTAGGGCTAGTTTGTCTAGTGATATTTTTAGGTTTTAGATCCCATCCTAGCTAAACACAGGAGTCAGAATCCAGATCCCGTAATGCTATGAAAATTATGTTGTAATAATCAGTAAAGGAAATCATCTGTAAAAGTCTTTCAAACAGGTAAACTAAAATGTGTGAAACCTTTTTCTGAAACATTTTAACAGAATGCAATTCAAACTGATTGAATCCATCCTATGCAATTCTCATTAAATGTATTTCCTGTTGCAGAGCTCAGTGAGATGGACATTCACGGCAACATTCGCAAGCTGCTCACAGCCGCAGTACAGAAGAGACTGATGGCTGAGAGGAGGATTGGATGTTTCCTCTCTGGAGGTCTCGACTCTAGTCTCGTGGCTGCCTTGGTTGTTAAACTGGCCAAGGAAGCTAACCTACCATACAAAATTCAGGTGAGATACAAACATAATTAGAATATTTTGGATTGTTATTTATTTAAAAAATAGTATGGAAGAAAACAAAAAAAACATAGCCAGTTAAAAAAAAAATAGAGAATTGGACTGGTCACACCTAGTCGGTGGGAATAGGTGATGTAAAACTTGCATTTGTAAAATATATTTGATTATTATACTGAGGTTTTCTGAAACATTTAGAAAATTGATTACATTATACAAGGGCCATTTTTTTCAACCTCTGATCACAACCTCCAATCGCTCCGTGCAGACCCTATGCGGGCAGAATAAAGCTGGTAAGATTTCATTTAACCAGTTAATCCTTACTCACAAATTTTTATTCATTTTAGAGTTGGATGTGAACCGTATTTATCACAGAAATCGATAAAAAAGACTACTGTACATTCTCATCTGATAGCAATAGATTTTATATAAAATAATTTATGAATCATTTCCAACAACAAATAATATTTCAAGAAAACCCTCTCTTCCACAGACGTTCGCCATAGGTATGGGCGAGAGCCCCGACATCTTGGCCGCACGTAAGGTCGCACAACACATTGGGTCTGAACACCACGAGATCTCCTTCTCACCCGAGGACATAGCTGAGGCCCTCGACCATGTAATCTACTCCCTGGAGACCGCGGATATCACAACTGTACGAGCATCTGTCGGTTAGTTACCAAAAACTTTAGATAAATATACTTCTTTGACAATCTTTTAATAATGTTTTTAAAAAGTAATTTTCCTTTTTTTGTATATTTACAGCATGCATTGATCACAAACAATATACCTTATAGATAGTAAACTGTCACTTATAGTGGTTTGGAATAACCAGTTATCAGGGATATTCTTTAGCTTAAAGTGAAAATTCTATACCTATTAAATTAAAATTGTGGAATAACAAATATTTTCTCTTAGTGACCTACTTTTTCATCAGTAGATTTGATAGTTTTTAAGGTAAATTAAGTTAGGAGTGATGCAGCTCCTATTGCTTATTCCTCTACATTCTTTGTATTCTTTCTTTTCATATTGCTGTTGTATTAGACTAAGAAGGTTTCAAGCAAAGCTTGTTAACTACTAAAATATTTTTCTGGCACCCGGGGTATTCATAAGAGGTAGAAACAGTAGGAATGCCAACAACATTCTATAGAATAATTCTATAGAATAATTAATTATTAAAACTCATTTTAAGTAAACTCAACCAAAAACTATTTATTTACAAAAACTAAACAAATAATGTAAACAAACCAAAATGCAGATGATTCATACTTCATAACTCAGCTGGTAACAATAATCCTACATTTCTCCCCACCCAATTTAGGCTGAGTTTCCGAAACTATGTACATCATCATTTTCAGTTTCCATTTGCATTTTCCATTGAGGTGGATCAGTTGCACCTTCTCTTGCTCTCAGCTGGTCAGCGTGTTTTCTCTTTACATCTCCCCCAACTACAACTGTGTACGACAGCTCTCCCGTCCTTTCTTGTACTGTTCCTGGTCTCCAGCCCTTCTTCGTTTCATTTTGAACCCACACTTCTTGTTTGGCAGAAAACTCCTTTGGTTTGGATTTTAAGTCGTGGTAGTACTTCTGTCGCCACACTTGATTTTCTATTCTCTCTCTGCTATTACACCTCCACCTATCCAAAGCTGTTGGTAATCTTCTACCATAGAAAAGGACTGATGGTGGTTGTCCTGTGGTCTTTTGTGGGGTGTTTCGATACGCAAGCAACACTTGTAAAAGTGCAAGTGATGAACTGAGACCTTCTTGTTTGCAAGCACTATATCGACTCTTGAAGGTTCTGATAATCCTCTCCACTAAACCATTGGTTTTTGGATGATACGGCGCTGATGTGACATGACATATGTTATTGTTCTTACAAAAAGTCTTAAACTCATGGGACGTGAATGGGGTGCCATTATCGGATACAATTTTTTTAGGAATACCATACCTCGAAAACCAAGTCCTTAATCTATTTACAAGAGCAGCAGTTGTCGTACGGTCCATAACTTCGATCTCAACCCATTTTGAGTAAGCATCGATTCCTACTAACCAGAATCGGTTGTCAAATGGACCTGCGAAGTCGAGATGAATTCTCTCCCAAGGATCACTTGGCACATTCCAAGGATATAGAGGCACTTCTGTGTCAAATGATCGGTTACTCTGGCAAGGGTGGCATCTACGGACATAAACCTCAACATCCTTATTCAGATTAGGCCACCAAACATAATACCTTGATAGGGATCTCATGGCCTCTATTCCAGGATGTCCTTTGTGGAGTTCTTTCAATACATTTTCTCTCAAAATCTGTGGCACCACAATTCATCCTAATCGCATGATTATGCCGTTTTCTAATGTCAGCTCTTCTCTCTTATTCCAATATGGTTTCATAGATGATGGCAAGCTTTCTGTATCTTTTGGCCAACCATGCTCCAGGTAGTCTGTAAGTTTCTTCATATTTGGGTCTTTCTTATACTCTCTTACAAGTTCATGATTTTGATAAACTACGTCAATTTTCTCCTGAACCAATGCTCGAATCTCTCTCTCATCTGGATCTAATACTTCTTGTGTCTTGAGTGAAAACCGAGACAAAAAATCAGCCACACAATTATCCTGTCCCTTGATGTACTGGATCTCAAAATCATACTCCATTAAATACAAAGCCCAACGAACCAAGCGGTTGTTTACTACTTTGGTAAGATCTCTATGCATTCCAAATATTCTTTCAAGTGGCTTGTCCCATATAGCACAAATATGTATTATATAGGTATCAGATAGGTATCCATGAAACTTAGGATATGTATTTTTAACGTTGCAATACCTATATGATACCTTTTAAATACCTATCTAGTAAGTGAAAATGTCCATCTCAAATACTATTTAGGTATCATCAATACATATCAAATATGTACCTGTATTGTGAATCCGTGGATTAGTTTAAGTTATGTTTGGTTTTCCTGCTCTAAATTAAGTTTTAAGTTAATAAATGTAGAATAAATAAAGAGTTAAAATTGTATCAACTTTCTTTCTTTAGTATTAGTTTATTTACATTCAATTATTTCCATGGAAACCAAAATTAAAACCAGCTGTCTCAGCACACTCCCACATCATTAGTTAGTTGTTCTGGGCCCCTTTTTTCTTTCCGGAATTCACGTCAGAGACTTCAATGGGATACAACAAGTTAATAGGTCTGGTGATGTATTTCCCAGATCCTAACTTTAATTTGGCACTTCTTACGTTTCCATCAGCACTGACGTTAAGGACTTCTATTTTCCCAAGTCGCCATGTCCCTCTGGGTAATGTGTCGTGAACATGAACTACATCACCAACTTGTGGATGTTGGGTTGACAGAATTCTTCCTTGTTTGATATTATGTTGAGTTCTCTCCCTTAAACTCAACAGATAGTCTTTCTTCCAAATCTTCCAAAAGCTATTTAAGTTGTTGGTTCCCTTTTTCCACATCTTTAATAAGTCCGATTCAGTCACTTTAGAAATAAACTCCATGTCGTTTTCTTGACATTCAGTCGTAGTAAGGCAGATTTCAATCGAAGGTCCCATCTTGAAGTCATTCTTAGTTATTCGGGAAAGTGAAGTTCAAAGTTGGAAGTTGTAAAAATTTTGAGTAAAGAAGTTAAGTTTAGAAAGTTGTAAAAAGTTAAAGCAGGAAACCACGCTCTGCTACCATATTGTGAATCCGTGGATTAGTTTAAGTTATGTTTGGTTTTCCTGCTCTAAATTAAGTTTTAAGTTAATAAATGTAGAATAAATAAAGAGTTAAAATTGTATCAACTTTCTTTCTTTAGTATTAGTTTATTTACATTCAATTATTTCCATGGAAACCAAAATTAAAACCAGCTGTCTCAGCACAACCTGTTACCTGATAGAAGCCTATATGATACCTACCTTATAGGTAAAAAAAAAACAAATTTCAAATGTTATTTAGGTACTTATTTGGTATCATGCATGTATCAAGTATGTATGCTAAAACCCTGAAAAATATTATTCACCTGGTTTTTGATTCAAAACTAGCACTGTGCTGAAGAATTTCCTGAAAACGTTAAGGTAGAAACTAGTTAATTCTATCTGTACACACATAAAAATACAATATTTATAAGAATTAAAATTATTGTTTTTTCTATCATTCACTTTTAGCAAATTTCCCTATAGTAGTCTATTACCGTAGGTGGCACAGTAAGACCTAGGCCCGGGACCGATTTACTTTTTCATTTTGATGTTCCCGGGGGCCAAAAACACCATTCATTCAAATTTATATATATATATATATATACATATATAAAAATTTGAACGAATGGTGTTTTCCGTGAACGAATGCGTCCGTGAACGCGACACAATAGCTTGAGTAATTTGTGTCCGATTTAGATTAAATTTGGTTTAAAGTTGTAAGGCGGGATAAACTTGAATAAGTTCGGGAATCAGCATGATCGGACCATGGGAACGGGATTGTATAGGGTAAAAAATGGTGTTCGAATTTTTGACCCTCAAAACACAAAATTTCCCAATTTCTTTCTAGACCTCTTTAAAGAGCTTAAAAATATAAAATAATTTTGTTTATCAAAATGTTTTTAAAGGGTTATTGGTAACGGAGAAATTTTTTTTAAAATGTAAATTTCAATTTCCTGTTATTTTTATGGAGAATATTGTAAAATGTTGTAGTTTGCGTGATTATGAATATATTTTTATCAAACTTGGCAAATTTATTCATTTCATACTAAGCTATTTACAGTAATATTTTACAAAAAATACACTTTATTAGTTTCCTTATTGCAGCAATCCTAGGTAGTCATTATAAACCTAATGTCATTAAAATAGCCTTAATAAAAAATCAATTCAGACAAATAGAAATTGCTTAGTGGCAGGTTTGCTGCGGTGGGGGTTTTTATGTCAAACTGTTTAAACAATCTGGGGGATTTACTGAAAAAATTATTATTACTTTATTCAATAATTCTGCTAATTATTAGAACTAATAACTAACAGTACCTTAACACAACTTCTTAACACTGACAATATTTAAGTTTATATTATTTGAGTCGACATTCAAGATTTAAATATATAGGGAACTGTACGTTCAGTGCAATTTAAATTTAAAGATAAAAATAAAACAGAAGGTTTAAAATTCTGCACTGCATTAAATAGTCTGTATTAATAAAAGTTAATTAAAAAAATATTTGATAAATTAAAGTCAGAGGTCCAACAAGAAAATCGCATTACAATTTAAACAATTTATTAAAACACATTTAAAATATACAATCTTCAACAGTCTACACAAACTCATCGTTTCTCTCTTCTAGTATCGAAGAATTAAATGATCCTTTAGCCTCGCTATCGGGTCCCTCAGCATCAGGTCCCAATGTCATGTCGCTACCATCAGGTAATGGTCTGAAATAAAAATAGAGAAGATTTAAGTTACACTAACATACAACAACCCATGAATCAACCACTTAGTAAAGATAAGTTATAAAAACAATCAAATGGAGGCTTCTCCCTAAGAGTGAAGGAGAAAAGAGCACCTTCGACTAAATGTAAGGTTCAAAGAGTGAGCAGGGCCCAAAATTTACACTCACAATATTCACTAATTTCCATGGCACTTGACACATGTTTATATTTTTTAGAGCTTTTTTGATCCTGAGATGCCACAATTATTCCACTTAACCCA